AATTTTAAAATTCGAATATAATGATAAAAGTATTGTTATTTTACAAATATATTTCTTATTCGTTGCAGTTGATAACAGTGGTCATCGGATGACCAAAAGCCAGACAACTTTGAAGGAATTGTTTGCACTAACTCCTAACGAACGTATTACAATGTCTGCAAACTCTAATAAGCAACCAATTGGTGAAGAGGCTCAACTATTGACTAAATTTCTAAGCATGGTAGCCCGTAATGGAATGAAATTGCCTATTCATTATGAAACATGGCATAAAATTTCAGAAGAAGTTAAGGTCGATACGTTAAACTTTATTGATGTATTAATATAATTAATCAGATATAAAAAAATTTTTATTTTACATATTGTTTACTTATTCTAACTTTTCTTATTGTATTATTACAGTCAAGATTTATTGTTGAAATATCAACTTCGTTTGTGCTTGAGTCATTGGGAAAGAAATTGAAAGATTATAAGCATAGTTTGAAGAATAAGTATTTCGATCGAAATACTACTATAAAGGCGATGATAAAAAATCTATCTCGTAATGTGATTAGGTGATAATATGAACAACTGATTAGATTTTGGTTCTCAAGAAAAAAAGAGGTACTAGTTTATAACTTTATATAGTAAAATGAAATGATGAAAGTATTTTATGGTTTAAGTTGATAATATTTGTATTTCTATCATATACGTAATTATTTTTTATGACAGAAAAGAGAACATATCGGGATTATTAGTAGAAAGCACAGAAATATAGCCACACAAGTGGATCAAAAAGTTTTGCAAAAAAGCAAAAAAAAATTGTAAGTTTATGATAATAAATGTATTCCAATGAATGAACTTTTTCAGCCATTAAAAGGTAAATATGCAAATTAACAATTATTGTTCTGTTTTAATAGTTTTGATAGTTTCAATACATGATATTAAACTTATCGAAAGTTTTGAACTTAGTTGACACAAATGATATGTATGAAATGTTATTATTTACGTATATTTACACCTTTAATATAGATTTGTTGTGATTGTTATATTTTAACAGTTTTGATAGCTTTAATACTTGATATTAAACTTGTTCGATTGATTGAACTTGATTTTTATAGTTGATATAGGAGAAAAAGTTATTGTTTAGGTCTGTTTGGGAGTATTTTTGCATATAAAAGGCAATATACAAATTAAATTTTTTGATGGCTTTCAACTTATTGAATGGCTTCAATCCTTGATATTAAATTGGGAGAAAATAATTAAATTTGATTTTCATGATCGATATGTGTGAAAGCCCAAAATGATTTTATTGTTTGTGTATGTTTAAGACTATTGTGTTGTTACGGGGCCAAAATATAAATACATGATATTAAAATTATTCAAAATTTTAATACTTGATTGACAAGCTTAATATGCATGAATAAGTTATGATTGATATATATCATATCAAATAACATATGTTTTTGTATAGGAGAATGAGATGGGTGGTACAATTACACTTGTGAAACTTTTTCGCATAACACAAAAAAAGGGATCTTACATGAATGTCGAAACATAAGAAATTATGGTAATTTGTATAATCTATTTTAATAGAAAGTAAATATTTACTATTTTTAACATATAATCAATTAATCATTAAACTTGATAGTTGTATATGACAAATTCATAGGAGAAAGCGAAAGAAAAAATAGTTGATGAGATTGAAGTAGCATCTGATGGTTCTCTTAACATGCAAGAAATGAAAAATCGGATATTTATAGAAGTTGTTGGAAAAGAAATGCATGGACGGGTCCGAGGCCTTGGAATGGGCCCAACACCATCTGCCTACTATGGACGTAGCTCTCCGTAATTTACATTCTTTGCAAGTCAATCTTCGCGAGACATTTCAATATTGAGAGGGGAGTTACAAACTATGCTACAACGTTTTCAGCAAATGAAAGCAGAAAGAGAACATGAGCGTACCAAAATTAAGGAAGAACGTGCTAGAATAGAGCAAGAGCGTGCTAAATTTCAACAATTGCATGATCAATTTGATCATTTTATGAATTTTGTGCAACAACAATTTTTAAAAAATGATCTTGGTGCTCCACCAACTTAGGTATTTTGTTTAGTAAATATTTAAATTTAACATATAAAAAGTTTACAATGAAGTGTTAAAAATTGTATAGTATTATTCAGTAGGTTCTTGAGTACGCTAGTGATCAAAGTGAAAAATTTTCTTTATCAATTGGCAGCCAGCAAAATGTTTACAGTCATCCATTTCATATATTTTAATTTTTTATTTTGTTAATGTATATAAAATATTTGAATGTTATTATACTAATTATTAAACTTTGTATTAATTAGATGTATATTTAAACGTGAATGAAGTTAATATAAAATTCAGTTTTTGAATTTAAGCTCTTTAATGAAAATAAAATTTATTAAAAGAATTTAGAAAAAAATACATTTTTACATAATGACAGCATTTGTGTCCATCGTGGGTCGCTAAATGAATAATTTAGTAGTGTTTGTAGCATAAAATATCACTATAAGTAGCGGCACTCTTACCAACAAATGCTGCTTGTTAAGTGACATTTTTCTCAAAAAAATGCCATTAAAGCAACGGCATTTTTCTAATAAAAATGTTACTGAATTAGCGGTGACTAAAAGATACAAACGCCACTAATATAGAGACATTTTCAGATTCAAATGTCTCTAAAGTAGTGACATTTTTAGTTACAAACTCACCAAAGCAACGAAATTTTTCTTTATAAAAACATCCCTAATTTAGCAGTGACTCAAAGATAAAAATGCCACTAAAATGACGGCGTTTCAAATATAAACGGCGCTAATATTAAGATTTTTTTTGAAAACGTCGCTATTTATCACGACGAGTGAATAGCCAGCACTCTGCGTGACATTTTTCACAAACATTACAAATCTTTTTGTGGCGTTTATAAACACCGTTAAACATTAAAAAAAAAAGTCACTAACAACCAAAACTCTTGTAGTGATGCACATAATAATATCGTAAAATATTATATTTTATCATTAATAGGTCCATGTGATGAAAATTTCATCGTCAATACTTCACTTTCGTCACCTAATCTAGGGTGACGATGACATAAAACGTCTCCTTATTATTTATCTTTTGTGGTAGTTGGTAACAAAAAAAATGGTCACCAAATAATGTAATCATCACAAAAATTATGGTAAAATTTCATATATTAATACCTAGTAATCCTTCTCCATTCTGCTCCCTTAGTCACTGCCTTTAACTTTGGTGAAAGAGCAATATGCAAGACTCCCTCGCATCGCATCTTTGAGTAGTTTCTTCAAAGCTGTCAAGTTCATTCAGAACTGCCTTACCCATTTCAAATCTATGTGCTGCCACTGGAGCTGGTAGTTTTGTGAGGCAGCCGATGGCCCTGCTCTTGCTATCTGCATGCATGCCCGACTGTTCATATTTTATATGAAATGAGAAAAGATGTTACGATCTTGAGAAGAGTCATAAATTATATAGCATGATTGTATATTAGAGCTAGTTTTAAAATATAAGTATTTACATAATCATTAACTTGTGAAAATCTCTTTTGTTAGATAAAATTATAAATTTTAATAAATTAAATAGATAATATCTTATAAATTAATATGGACTGTGATACATTAAAAAATTTGTGAAGCAATTGATCACTCTGTGAGATAAAATCGTAAAGTTTAAAAATTTAAAAATAAATTAACAATTAAAAAAAAATTCAAATTATTGAGAAAAATGAACGACACTCATGCATCCTTGAATAGGGTTTCTATTAATATAAAAAAAAAAAAAACAGAAGTTCAAATTAAAGGAAGCACTGAAATGAAAAGGTTAAAAGAAATGGGAACAAATGTGGCAATAAAATGAACCAATTTCAACCCCAATAATCAAACTACTAATACTATGCTCAACCTTTAGAAGCTAAAGATAATTACAAAGATGGTAATGTGATGTGCCACCTTCTAGAAGTAAGAATTATACCAGAATTATACCAAACACAGCCTTGCCTTCAAATATAAAGCTGTTGTTGTCTTATTAAGTAACAAATACAAAGTATTTATTTTATTTTGGAATAGTTGTTAAATGTACTTATCTACATTAAATATTTTTCTCTTATTTAAACCAAATTAATTTTTTTAGCTTACGGGGTTTTGGTTTCACTTGATACATCTTTTATTAAATCGATCTAAGTACGATTATTTATATTAAACTTAAAAAATTCATAAAATATAAATTTTTAATATGTCACAACTTTTCAACAAATTCAAACTTAAAATAACTTAGGATCAAACTATCTTACAATAATTTTATATAAGACAAGATAAAAAAAATAATATAATTTAAATTATATATGTATTTGATAAAAAAAAATAAAATATATTTTGTACATTAATATAAATTATAATACGATAATTTTTGTTTTATATATATTAAATATAAAACAAACTTAAATATCAAATGAGTTGATCTACTTGCTAGGAGCAAGAAAAAAATTAAGAAAATAAAAAATGGAGTTGAAATCGTAACATTCGATTTAAATCCTTTTTTTTTTTTTTCAATTCGAATTATATTTGATTATTAATATATATATTAAATTTAGGTTAAATTTTGAATAAAAATTAAAAAATTAAAAAAAATCGAATCAAATTATATATTTTTATTAATTTTTATATATTTTTTAAATTTTTATAAAATAAAATAATTATTTTATAACTAAAACTAAATAAATATATTAAAATTTTATATTAAAATAATATATAAAAATAAAAACAATATATAAAAAATTAAAAAATTAAAAACTGGTAAAACTGAATTGAATCCATAAAACTTGATTGAATCTCATATAAAAAATCAATTTAAATTTCAATCAAATTTTAAAAATTTATAATATTATATTTTATCAAAAAATCAAACCAATATCGATTCAATTCGACCCCTTTTTACCCCTCTTACTTAGAACTTCAGCGATCGTAAAATGGTTCTTAACCCTTGTTTAACTTTAATTACTTCCTGTTAAGTCAACTGTGCCGCATTTACCCTTTCATTTGGGCATAAGAGAGGGAAAAATGGAAAAAAAAATAACAAAAAAAATTTTCTTTTCCTCTTACTCTGCTCTTCTGTCAAGCAACATGGATTCCACACCTCACCTGGAATCCCAATTCCCGGCCTAATCATATCCCATAAACCCTAAATTCACAATCCCTCTTTCAGAAAAATCTCAAAAAACAAAAAAAAAAATCTGTTCTTTTCTTAAAAAATCTCCTCCTTTTCTTGTCTTACTGTCACATCTGTTTTCAGTGTGTTACATCTTACCTGGGTGTTATGCATAGATCTGGAGCAACGATGGCGTGGAACGTTTTCAAGTTTTGTACAGCTCTGAAGGGTCTGGGCTCGATCATGATCCTGTTGGTTTTAGCTGTCGTGGGTGTCACATACTACTCTGTCGTTTTGAACAATTATGGCCCAGCTTTGTACCATGGCGGCCTTGATTCCCTTACTGCTGTTCTTATCTTGGTCTTGTTTCATTGTTTGGTAAGTCTCCAAATTTAACCTTCTTTGTATTTGTAATTTCACTAAAAAAATAAGCTGAATTGAAATTAAATTCAAGAAAAGAGATGGGTTTTTCTTTAAATGATTAAAATGGTTCTACAAATATTCAAGCTTTAATTTTGTGTTTGTTTTGATCTTAAATTTTCTTCCTTTTTGTGTTATGAATTCCTAAATTTTTATATTTCTTAGCGATTTGTTGAATGTGAGATAAAAGAAAGAACAAATCTGAAGTATTAATACAAAGCAAGGCTCCATCTTGGACCTTTTCTATTTTTGTTATATATAATCACATTACTAAAAGAGTGCAAAAATAATGGATGATTAAATGTATCATGGAAACTGAGTTTAAATGTGGAAATTTTGATGTGATTCTGCAGTTGGTGATGCTGCTATGGAGTTACTTTTCTGTTGTTTTGACTGATCCGGGTAGTGTGCCACCTAACTGGAGGCCAGCTATGGATGAGGAGAGAGGGGAGGCTGATCTATTGAATGGTTCAGAGTTCAATGGTTTGCAGCCAGACCCATCAAATCAAAGAATTCGATATTGTCGGAAATGCAACCAGCTGAAACCACCCCGCTGCCATCATTGTTCTGTTTGTACGTTCTTCAGACACCAAAATTCTCCATTTCTTGCTCTTGATTTTCTTATAATATTTTTATTATCAATGATCAGTTCCATCTCAATTTCGTTGTTTCAGGTGGGCGGTGTGTGCTGAAGATGGACCATCATTGTGTGTGGGTTGTCAGTTGTGTTGGTGCACGAAATTACAAGTATTTCCTTCTTTTCTTGGTATGTCTGCTTTATTTTCAAATTAGTTTCTCCTGCATTTTATACATTCTAGGCCCTAATTGCTTTAAAATCTCTTATGGAAGCATAAATTATCCTCTCTGTATTGATTATAGTAATACAGGTTATGATTGCATTCATGAGATGTTGATGGAGTATTGCTTCTTTTTTCTTGGCATTTATTTGACTATGATTTTAAACCTCAATGCAGTTTTACACATTTCTTGAGACAAGTCTCGTGGCTTTGGCCTTATTGCCACATTTCATAGCATTCTTTAGTGATGGAGAAATTCCTGGAACTCCTGGCACCCTTGCGACCACTTTCCTTGCCTTTGGTATGGGCTGCTTGGACTTTTCTTCTGACCTATCTAACTTTTTTGACCATGTACTAATGTATGACTATGTTCTCTTGTGACAGTTTTGAATCTGGCATTTGCATTGAGTGTCTTGGGGTTTTTGATCATGCACATATCATTGGTGGCTGCTAATACCACCACTATTGAGGTATTTTCTTCATCTTGAATTTTAGTACCATGTTTACTAGTTGGTGTTTTCAGCGTCAGCTTTCGTCCAGATTATTTGGTGTATTCCCCCTCTTGAAGATTAGAATGCAGTATAAATGGACTCAAATTTACTGACAAAATCTGTGATCATATTTTGAACAGGCATATGAGAAGAAAACTACTCCAAAATGGCGTTATGACATTGGTCGGAAGAAAAATTTTGAACAGGTTTAGTTTACTAGTGTTTGCAATACATTGCTATTTTCTCTTGTTTCTTTACTTGTATTTCTTGCATAAAAGAAGCACTGATATAATGGTCATTTGATGATTTTTCTGGTTAAAATTCAATTAAATCCCCTTTACTCGCATTTGTCATTTGGATTGTCCATAATTTGTTCTTAAAACAGCTTTTCCGGCATGTTAACTGTCATCAGTTTACTCAAGTTATGGTGTTTCTCTACATACAGGTGTTCGGAACAGACAAGCGATACTGGTTCATTCCAGCTTATTCAGAGGAAGATTTACGGCGGATGCCAGCACTTCAGGGTCTTGAATATCCAGCAAGGCCTGATTTTGATTCCCAGGAGTTCTAAAAAACTAAAAGCCTCCTCGACGCGTAGATCATTTTCTTGTAATCATAGATACGGACGCCTTGCGCATTGTCCCCTTGTATTCTAACAGGTACATTACTCCACAGCTGATTTTGCCTTCTAACTGTTCATTCCCACAGGCATCTTTGTTTAGAAATAACAGTAGGGAAAGAGTGAGTGAGAGAATACCAGGGAAAGCAGCATATGGTTGTGAAAATGGTGGGTGGCAGATGGGCTGACAATTAAATATCCAGAAACAGTAGGCTTAAGGTATGGAATGTAATATTTCATGTTGTGATATTAATTCAGTTCTTGTAGATTTGTTGTACTGATTTAGAAATATAGAGAATGCATTTGGATTATCAATTTTGTTTGTTACTGCAAAATTATGTGTTCATCTTATTATTTTTAATTGGTCTTTCACAGCAGCTTACAGATTAGATAAACAAGTGTTGGCAGGGTTTTATTTTTTCTTATTGTAGTAATATTGTTTCATTGAATACCAGCTAGGTGAAAGTAAAAACCCATAGTCGAGATGACTCCGCAAACAAGGTTAATAGGATAAATTTCGTAATTCCTATATCTATGTTTATTTATTGTAAAATATAAAAATTATTATGTCATAATTCGTGTCGATATGTCAAACACAAAATACATTTTTTTAGTTTTTAACAAACAAATATATGGTTTTTCTTGAAACTTTAAATCTTCTTGTTTTTATGTTTTTTATTTTTATTAAAATTTTAAATCGTAATATTTTTGTTTCTTTTTTTGTGAAAGGCTTATGTGCTTTTGATGCTATGGGTAATACCGGTTCAAATTGGATTTGATTCAAATTTTTTTGGATAATGTATAAAATTATAAATTTTAAAAGTTCAATCCGAATCCAAGTCAAACATTCGTGATCTTATTTGAATCGAATCGAATTTTATTGATTTTATAAGGTTTGATTCAATGGTTTTTAAATTTAATTTTTTATTTTTATATATTATTTTAATATAATTTTAATATATTTAAATAAATATAAATGTAAAATAATTATTTTTATTTTATAAAAATTTAAAAACATATATAAAAGCTAATAAAAATATATAATTATTTTGTTTTTTGTTTTTGATTTTTTACTTCTTAATCCAAATTTAATATATATATATTTAATATTTAAATTTAATTCAAATAGAATAAGAAAAAACCGCTCCGAATTAAATCGAAGTAGGCAATTATGAATTAATTTTCTGTTTTCTTAGATTTTTTTCTCACTCTTACCTTTTTAACCCCGAGGGCAAACAAAATTGGCCAACGATGTCGTTTTAATACACGACCGGTTCATCTCTAGTGGATGACACCTGGATTTTAACTTTCAACAGTTGAAAACCGTTAAAACGATAAAATCTGAACACAGAAATATCATATGAACAGATTGCAGAATCCAACCTCACAGACCGGAGTTGATGCTTCTCTGTGCGAATCTAAACAAGCCATGGAACTCAACGCAGCCAACTCTCCTTCTCCCAAAATGCAAAACCTCGAACGACGTAAACCAAATCCACGCCCGTTTAATAACAACTGGTTTCATCCAATGCCCCACTCTCACCACCAAACTCATCCTCGCTTTCTCTCCTTCACCATTGCCTCCCTTGGTCGACTTTGCTCGCCATGTCTTCTTCATGCACCACGCTTTCCCGACACAAGACAGGGACCCTTTTCTTTGGAACGCTGTAATGAAGTCATATTCCCATGGGCGTGACCCGGAACAAGCTTTGCTCCTGCTCTCTTTGATGCTTGAGTGTGGGGTTTCTTTTGATAAGTTCTCTTTGTCTTTGGTACTTAAAGCGTGTTCGCGGTTGGGTTTAATGAAGGAAGGAATGCAGGTTCATGGGTTGTTGAGAAAGCTGAATTTTGGGTCTGATTTGTTTCTGCAAAATTGTTTGATTTCTTTGTATTTACGCTGTGGTTTTATTGGATACGCGCGCCAATTGTTTGATAATATGTCTATGAGGGACTCCGTTTCATATAATTCGATGATTGATGGGTATATTAAACGGGGGATGATTGATTTGGCATGCGAGTTGTTTGATTTTATGCCAATGGAGTATAAGAATTTGATAACTTGGAATTGTATGATTAGTGGTTACGCCCAATTGGAAAATGGGATGGATTTGGCTTTGGAATTGTTTGAGGAAATGCCGTATAGGGACTTGATTTCGTGGAACTCGATGATTAACGGGTTTGTAAAGCATGGGAATATGGAAGATGCTCAGGCTTTGTTTGATATCATGCCGAAAAGGGATGTCGTCAGTTGGGCTAATATGATCAATGGATATGCTAAATTAGGTAAGGTTGATCTAGCTAGGCGGTTGTTTGATGAAATGGTGGAAAGAGATATTGTCATGTGTAATGCTATGATGGCTGGTTATGTCCAAAATGGATATTGTGCAGAAGCTTTAGAAATATTTTATCATTTGCAAAGGGATGGTAATTTGCAGCCTGATAATGCCACATTGTTGATTGTTCTTTCAGCAATTGCACAATCAGGGCACATTGAAAAAGGGTTGGTAATACATCGGTATCTAGAGGAAAACAAGTTTTCTTTGGATGGAAAACTTGGTGTTGCTCTTATTGACATGTATTCGAAATGTGGCAATGTAAAGAATGCTATGCTGGTTTTTGAGGGTATAGAGGATAAGAGTGTTGATCACTGGAATGCTATGATTGGTGGGTTAGCCATTCATGGCTTGGGTGAATTGGCTTTCAATTTGCTCATGAAGATGGAAAGGCTTTCTGTAGAACCTGATGATATCACATATATTGGGGTGCTGAATGCTTGTGGCCATGCTGGCTTGTTGAAGGAAGGTCTGATTTGCTTTGATATCATGAGAAGAGTTCACAAAATGGAACCAAAGCTGCAACATTATGGATGCATGGTTGACATCCTTGGCCGGGCAGGGCAGGTAGCAGAAGCAAGAAAATTTATAGAGGAAATGCCTATTGAAGCCAATGATGTGATTTGGAGGGCTCTGCTCAGTGCTTGCAAAAAGAATGAAAACATCGATGTTGGAGAACCGGTGGCTAATCATTTATTTACACTGGACTCTTGTAATTCAAGTTCTTATGTTCTTCTATCTAACATATATGCCGATCGCGGTATGTGGAATGCTGTTAGTAGGGTTAGGATGATGATGAAAGCGAGAAATCTGAAGAAAATCCCTGGTTGCAGTTGGATTGAACTAGAGGGAACTGTTCATGAATTCTTCGTGCATGACAAATCCCATTCCCAAGTTATGGAGATCTATTCTTTGTTGGATGGCTCGACAACATCCAACTCTGAGGTCACACCTTGTGGACGTCATGTTTAGGTTGGAATCTACAACCTGAAAGCCTGGAACTCAGTTGTAGATAACAAGGATCTTATTTCATGTATGATTAGTTGCTTGGAACTTAACTGTATGCTGTTCAATTATTGTAACTGTAATTTCAATTAATCTTTTTCAGTAACATACTAATATTTGTTTGAGGAGTAAGGTTGCTTTGTCTCGTTCTTTCGGCTCATTGTTTATCCATAAGCTAGTTGGTCTTTCTGGCGGCAACGTTTCCCACCAAATTTTACTGCCTGTCAATTTGTGGATTTGTACTTAGGACAAATAAGTTAAGAAGATTATCTTATTATAATTTGTGTCGATAAATTAAATATGAAATATATTTTTATATTTTTGTCAAAGTTATGTACGATTTTTTCTTAAAATTTAAATTCACTTTCGTATTGTGTCGACATGTTTTTTGGGTGAAAAAAATAAAAAAAATTGAAAATCATTTCGAAATCGTAATGTTTAGATTGATTTATATCTTTTTTTTATTTGATTTGGATTAAGTGTCGGATATTAAATGTATATATTAAATTTAGATTAAATTTTAAATCAGAAAGTAAAAAAATTTAAAAAAAAATCAAACTAAATATCGGGGTTTCGAATTATATATTTTTATTAATTTTTATATATTTTTTAAATTTTTATAAAATAAAAATAATTATTTTATACCTAAATATATTTAAATATATGCAAATCATATTAAAATAGTATATAAAAAAATTTTAAATTTAAAAAATTGATGAATAAACTAAATCAATAAAATTTAATTTAGATTGAATCGTATGAAAATTCAGTTCAAATTTAAATATAAATTTAAAATTTTATAATTTTATATATTATAAAAAAATTTAAAACAAATCTAATTCGACCCGACAAACCATTTATCACTCTTAGTTGCCCTTTTTTATCTTGGGTCATCTTCCACCGTTAGTTTGGGTCTTAGCCCCTAATTCTTCGAAAATAGCACTTATAAGACAATAACTCAATGGGGTTTGGACCAATTTGTACGAAATCAAGTACTTGAAAACAAGACCACTTCAATGGGGAAAAGGCCCAATAAATACCAGAAAATGACCAGAAGAATAAAACCCTAGCCAGATTCTCCATTTTGATTCTAGGATTTCTTTGCTCAGAAGTAGAGGCAAAGTGACCAAGAGAAGCAGCTAAGCAGCCAAGCTCGAAACTCTGTCACCATGGGTCGAATGCACAGCCGAGGGTCTGTAGTTGCTCTCACACTTGATTCATTATCCTCTGAAAACAACCCTATGATTATGTCAGTGAAATCACTTCTAGCTGCTTCAAATGACTGATTTGACTTTCTGTGCAGTAAGGGTATTTCAGCATCTGCTCTGCCTTACAAGAGAACTCCTCGTAGTTGGTTGAAGATCTCTTCTCAAGATGTGAGTCACTTGTTTTAATTAGACCTAGTAATTTAAAACTCGAACTGTGATACCACACGAAAAAGATACGGAAATGATACGGTTTAAAATTTTAGTAAAAATCATATATGAGTTTGAGAAAAATATGTATGTTTGATGTTTTTGTGTCACACGGTATTGTAACTCGAAATTTTTATATAAAATACGAGTATTTTACACTATACAAGTACACCAATTACCAGGACTAGTTTTAATCATGCTCTTTTAATCCATGTTATGAAATAATTGAATCTTCAAGAGCTGTTTGATTAGAATAGTGGCAGATAAGAACCAGATGTTTGATATGATTTGTACAGGGAATAGTTGTTATCCTCGAGCGCAATTCCATGGCTATGGTCTGCGTGATATCTAAAGTCAATCTGTAGTGTTGTATGGATTTTAAACTGGTGGCTTTGTAAAATTAAGTTTGTCATGATTTAAGTAGTAAAACATCTAAAGATAGCTTGAGAGAAAATTGAAGGCTGTGGGAGCAATTTCTTAATGATTACTATTTAAGTTTGATAATGCATTTAGCTATGTTTCAATAATTTGTTTTTCACATTGCTGAAATTTGGAATCTTAAGGGTCATTGATTTCTTGTTTTTGGTAGTTTCACTCATTACCCTGCTTTCTTTTTCTGACATAAACCTCAAGTTATAGTGCATTTAGCTATGTTTCAATATTTTGTTTTTTCACATTGCTGAAATTTGGAATCCTAGTGGTCATCAATTCGTGTTTGTCAGTAGTTTTGCACATTACCCCTCTTTCTTTTTGTGACATAAACCTCAAGTTGTTTCAAGCTTTGTTTATTATGTTCTTCTGTAAGATATTATTCTGGTTTATGAATCCCACAAGTTTAACCAGAAATTTTAGTGCTGAAGGGATGGAATATTATTAGTAGTTCATTGATCTTTGTCAAAGACTCATCTTTTTTATGGCAATATTCATTAATCTTGATTTCATCTTTTAGGTTGAGGAGAACATTTGCAAGTTTGCAAAGAAGGGTTTGACCCCGTCCCAAATTGGTGTCATTCTCCGTGATTCTCATGGGATTGCTCAGGTGAAAGTGTTACCGGCAGCAAGATTTTGCGGATACTGAAAGCCCATGGTACATCTCATTGACATTCTCTGCTGTTTCATTTTCCTTCTGATTTGAAGATAAAACATTCAACTTCTCCATTTGTTTATGTCAGGTCTTGCTCCCGAAATTCCTGAGGATCTGTACCACCTGATTAAGAAAGCTGTTGCCATCAGAAAGCACCTTGAGAGGAACAGGAAAGACAAGGATTCCAAGTTTAGGTTGATCTTGGTCGAGAGTAGAATCCACTGACTTGTCCGCTATTACAAGAAGACAAAGAAGCTGCCACCTGTGTGGAAATAGTGAGTATTTGTAATTATATCCCTGCTTCCCTTTGATGTTCTTTACATGTTTAATGAATGGTCAGAGGCATGCTCTTTCAGAAAATTTCATCTACACATGAAAATTGTCAAATGGTTATAACTTGCAAATCTTAACATGCTTGTTTATGCAGCGAGTCTACCACAGCCAGCACACTTGTGGCTTAGAGCTGGCACATCTTGAACCATCTTGCATTGTCCGGCGCTTCAATTGACATTCTCCTGGATATGCAGGACTAAACTTTTGCTATCACATGCTATTAATGCTTTTGAAGAACAAGTTCACTTACGGTTTGAAAATTGAGATATTTAGGAGGGAAAAAATATTATGTTTGGTGTATGAGAATCATTTTTCTTCATTTTTTTTTTTCTTTCATTTGAAATGTTGGTGTTTTGAATCTTGTTTTTTAGTGGGTTTTTACTTGGATCTTGTTGATTTAGAATTTTTGTCAAATTGTGCTCAGAATGAGTGCTGCGAAAAGAAAGGAAAAGAAAAAGGCAAATGAACAGGATGGTCATTTGCCTAAAGCCCAACAGAGAATTAGGAAATTGTGCACTTAAATAAATATTTAGGATGTTCTTAGTTCTTACTATAGAAATTTTTTTTTTTTTTTTCAAATCAACAAGTATGTTGATTCATATATTCTAATTTGATGTGTTTATCAAAAGGGAAAAATCATATAGGTATTTGATAAAAATAAAAAAATATATTTCATGTTATACGTATAGAAATGAATTGTGTCGAGTAATTTTTTTTAATGTAAAATATAAATACTTCTATTGACAAACTATGATATTAACAAAGCAGACATGTACAATTTGGAATTTTGTGATTGATGTTAAACCTATACAAGCCCAAGGCCATTTTTGATAACTTTTGGTTCAGAATTTTTGCAAACCAGTTTTGATAATTTAAGACAAACACGAACTTTGGTAATTTTTTCGTGCCCCACCTTTCATTGAGAATTCAAACCTATCAATTTTGTTTGTTTTATTGGGGCTTTGGCAGTGGAGGGAGAGGATTTGACATATGGTCTTAGCAAGTAGATTTGACATACCGAGCTGGTTGGCTCCTACCATGACCATTATCTACATTTGACCTTGTGGGGAGCATTTCATGGTCTAAAAGACAAGGTATACATTTTATTGCAGAGTTTGAGTCATTAATTGGACAGGTGTAACTCAATTTTTTTTATTTGAGCTGACATGTCGAATTGGTTTGAAATTTCGAAATTCACGTTAATTCAATCATTTCAGTTAATTATCAAATGATACATGAAAATATTGATTTATCACCTCTTAATTTAGTTATTAATTATTAGTTTAGGTTGGATCAGTAATGTCAGTTCCAATCCTACCACTTGAAGCTTAGATCACATAGGTATGACGTTTTCATCGTACAGATATAAATAATCTCTTTAAATATTATTAATTCAAATTTTCATATCTACTTTCAAGTTTTCTCATCTTTTTACTCCCTTTCTGAACACTTGACTTGAACATCAAAACAAAAACATTGAAAAAACCTTTGACCTTTACTATTAACCGATCTCTCACCTTGCGATTTCAAGTTTCTGCTTTTTCAAGAGAGCTCGGCACCAACAGACCTGAGGATTGATGCAAAATATGATTAAAGGATTGATAAGATTCCAATCTTGAAATCAGATTTTTAATCTGATAATAGCTAGTGTTGAGCCTGATTTGGAAATTGTAGTGATAGAAATGGATCCATTTCTAGTGAAGTTAGATGATGTAGATAGCTTCTGATGATCTGCACTTTTGTTTCTCTTCAGGTATGAGAATATATGTCGACATTTTGATCTTCCTTAATGTTAGAAAAGATCTGGAAGGTAAGCATGGTTGCTTCTTATATGTTTCAGGCAGTCAATGAATGATGAGTATAATACTTAAGCAATAATTGGAACTAAATCTGAAACTTAACTCGATTGTTTCATACGATCACCTTTAAGAGGTAGCATATGTTTAGAGTTCAAGTTGCGGCCTACTATGTACCAAAAAAATAACTGGAACTCATGCCGTTTCAAGTCATAGATGAACATTTACCACTCTTCTCTTGTTCTATTATTGATGACTGCAGAGGGAATGAAGCTTTACATTTCAGACAAGAATGTGATCTTGACTTAGGTTTTCATGGTGTTGTACCTGTTAAGTACTTTAAGAAGATAGAATCATGGCCAGATAGATAACCTGTACCTTTTTTAATGTAAAATTGGATTATGAATGATAATTTTTCTACTGTCTTTGATCTGATAAATTAGTTCATTTTGTTGAAACATGTCATCTTGGCCACTTAAAACACAATTTCATTGTTTTAAACCATGCTATCTTCGTGTTTGTTTATATCATTTTCGTGTTTTATCACCGTATATTGTCAGGGCTAGATTTGTGCTATGTGAATAGTGAAAAGTAGTGAAAGTGGAGTAGACTTCTGAGAATAACAAAATAG